ACTGAAACTAATTGTACTTTTGTGAGTCAGTAAATTGCACGTATTGTCACTTATTACACTATCTATTGATCCTGTTCCCATTTTAAAGTGTTTATTGTGACATATTATTTGACCTCCCTAGAAAATACAGTAATTCTGTCCACTCCACCCAAAGAAAATCTGTGAGAAATCGGTCGTCTCCTGGGACGCATCACACATGAAACCATGAGGTAATGTAACCCTCCACCTCTGCTTCATATATGGAGGCCTAACAAAGCTGTCATTAAGCTAGCGGCACTAATGGCTCTGAACCACAGCAAGACGTGGGTCATGCAAGTAAAACAGCGTTAGGGAGGTGGACTGTGTTAGGGTTCCTAATGCGTTTCTTTTCATTTCTTAAGCAAACGAGGTGTTATGTTGTATACAGGAACACATTAAATGTCTTTCTCTCTACCAATATACAGTAACTATCAAAACCCTCTCCTCCATGATGCTGACACCTTAAACTTTAAAAAAATTGGCCCAGAATTGGTGACCTTAACATGAAGTAATTTTTGACAAATTCAAAGTGGATTTAAACATTTTTACCACAAATCAGCCATCGCACCGCACAGACACTGCTACTTAGTATATCTATTAAAAATGATTCCATTGTGTGTTTGCGTGAGTGTGGATAAGTAGATTTTATGTGTATGTATTATACCTCTGTGTACTGTATGTGTGTCCTTTAGGTAAGTCTTCAACCTTTTGCTCTAAAACTATTTTGGGCTTCAGTGAGTCACTTAAAAACAAGTTGTTCTGAGATCAACTGATGAGCAAACCTTTAAGTGACTCCTCTGCAAACCTCTCCTCTCGTTAAATCTTGGACTGGAGCCTAAAAGCACTCTGTAAAAACACACAGGACACTAAAACCAGGGTGCTTTTAATGCAGGTGTTCTGTCAAATTCACAAGCGGGACCGTGTTTCAAAAAGATTGCTGCCCGCGAGCAAGGCCTTTTGTAAACCGTGAACGTCCGAATGAAGTTAAAATGTCAAAGCCTTAATGGACTGGAATGTTAATTGCGGCATTTATCATGATGTTGAATCAAAGCTTTTACACGGACGTGAAAACGGGCTGCATGGACCTGCACTGCCCTGCCAGGACTCCTGAGGGCATTGTCAGCGCTGCTCATGTTGAGTATCTGTTACAACATCCTGCCTGAGTGCTGTGGCCTTTAGGGGTTTCTCTTCTCGACCGGCTGTAAATGAAAAATGAAAAACAACTCAATACAACTAATGAAACACAATGAACTTCTTTTCTGTTACAGGTACGGAGGAGCATGGAGTGACAGAGGAATTCGGCCAAAACACACACAGTCCAACTGTGCCTCCAAGTCCACATGGAGGTGAATCTAGCAAATGTATTTTTTTAAAGCTCACTGCTATTAATACTATTTCTGTAATTCTGTGTAACTCACTAAGTTTTATGTGTAAATGTTGTATATCCCATTGGAAATTTAAAAAAGTTATCCGCTGCCAAGTATTTCAAAAACAGATGTCTACGTGCTCTTTAATGTTACTGTGGGCTTGTAAGTTCAGTTCAGGGCTTGTAACTCCGCTAAAAGTCGTAAATCTACCGTGTCAGACTGTGTGTTGTTATTATTTCTTATCGGTTTGAACAGTGCTTGTTGTGATTCACTCACAACAGAGCAGATAATGAGCTGACAATGTGACGCTTTTTATTCCATTGTTCCTCTTTGTACGTCACTGTGTGTACTAAACTTTTTTGATCAGAGGAGCTGGAAATGTCACATAATTATGACTCAAGATCCATGACAACAGACAAAGAATCCTTTTTAACATTTTAGGATCATAATGAGCTGTGTGTTTTGCTTACAGCTTCATCAGGGCTGATGATAATGGGATACAGGTTTTGCCCATTAAAAACTAATGAAATGAAAAAGATTATTTTGCACCAGTTCAGTTTTCCCCAGTTCTATAAATATGTTATAATGATGATGTTTTTCTTCTCCTCCTTCTACAGTTTTCTTGCTGTTTCCAGCACATCTTGACTGGCACACTCATTCTAATATAACAATATAATACCAGCATCACAGCTGCCATTTAAGAAGTGAGAATTATATTTATTTGAACTTACTGCCAGTCACGGTTGTGAGAACCTTATAATTTTAGCCTTAAAATCAGACTGAATTGCCATTTAATTGCACATCATCATTCAGACTGACATCAAGTTCTGTTTGGGAGGGGTTGTTGTTCGCTGACCAATCAGATTTCAAACCGTCTTCAGTTGACACTACGGGAGAAATATGAAATTTTAAAAGTCGTTTCCGCTAGTTACAACATGTTTGTTGTTATTTTTGTGGCAATAGTTCAGTCATAGTTCTGGCTCTGACACAGGAAGATGACGTCCCCACAAACAATCGGCTCAGTTGTTTTTACAACTGAAAAACCAGCCATCAATGAGCACAATAAACCTGTCTGAAACTCTGTAATTATCGGAGGTGTGGGCTGCAGTCGTGTAAGTAAAAATGACACTGAGGTCATGTCTTCCATATTCAGAGGAGTTTACATTCTTACATATGTTGATTATTTTATTAACTGATTGTATTCACAATGTGTTTAAATGACTAATATTAGCATTTTATTCCTGGCAATGTATTTAGACCTTCATGTTGGGAAAGAAAAATGACATAATTATGATTTTATTGCCGCTTTTTCCCCTTTTTTATTATTAGAAAGTTGTTAGTTATTGAATGGGCACTTTAACTATGACCAATGATTTACGATCATTTAGCATTCTGGTAAACATTTTTGGCATTAAGACTGTAAATCCATTAAGAAAAAAACAAGCAAACAAACAAAAATGTTTCTAGCTATGGAGATAAAGAGAAAACAAGTGAGTTTATAAACAAGATAAAAGATTCATTATTCATATTAAGTCTTTCATTCTTCTGGTAAAACTTTGCTAAATCTGCTAAGGAACTGTTAATTGGTCTACCAAGCTCTTAGTTCTTCCCCCCAAAAATCCTTTTTTTGTTAGTTGTGTGGTATTTATAATGTATTAACTATTGCTTTACATTCTATAAAAATATATATATATAAATAAATAAATAAAATACTGGCTGACTAGCATTGTATTGAGGATATCAACGTGATCATGGATGTGAATAAAGTGTGTACACATTTCAGTGTCCACGTTATATTTACTGATCGGTTATTGCATTTTTAAAATGGCTGGATGACAAACACTTTTCTTTTTCATCATTATCATTGTATTGAAACATGCTTCAGCTAAGGTTCGCTTGATTCAGTCTGGTCATCAAAGAAAAACTGAGATTTTCTCTTCTCTGAGTCACACTCAGGCAGGATCCACATTCCAGCTTGGTTGGACAGCCAGCTGTTCACAGCATTTTTCTCGCTGATGGAGGAGTTAGGCAGTGTTTTTCTGCTGATAGCTCTCCTGAACAGCAGATAGAGAGGCTCCGCATCCCACTTACAGATGTTTGTGATCATCGCTCCAGTGAGATTAAATGGAAGAGAGATGGTGGCCAGAGATTCAACTCCCAGAGCAGTGGGCCTGGTCCTCAGGCGACCTGCTGTATTGGTTTTGGACAGTGAGCAGGAGCTTAGGTGGAAAGAAGCTCCCTCATCTGGCTGGACGGCCAGCGCTCATGCGTCAGGGAGTTAGAGGGTAGGTGTGCAACAAACGAACGATGGATGAATCAGCTTTCGGGTTCATGGAAAAGTTCACAGACTGAACAACTGAGTTTAATATGTACCTCATGAGTTATTGTGTTGTGTTGAATTGGGGTCTCTCCAAAATGTCATGAGTTAAGGCGCTCAGATCGGCTTTTGTCAGTGATGTTATTTCCTGAATGGAAGACAGCCATCAGGGCTTAAAGATCAGACATCATGGATGTATTTACGGTGTGTGCGTGTGCATGCATGCGTCAGTGATTTCTTTTATGTACGTGCTGACGTTTGTCTGTCTTTTATTAAAACCACTGTCCGTATTTACCAGAATAGACTCAAATGTGTTACGACAGAAGTTTGTAGCTGCAGAAAAATGCATTCTTCTTTGTTGTCAATGAGTTGTAGATGTGTTTGCTCTGTTTGTCGTTGGCGTATAAGTGTGGTGCACAATGTTGACTTACAGAACAAAGATGAAGTCTTGTTCATAACAGGGAGAGAGCTGACTTTTGTGTTACTTATTGTACAAAACCAAATACACAAACACTCTACACTGACGTCTGCCTATGTCTGATGTTGCTGGGAATGTAGCTTCATTACCATGTACCATGTGTCGAAAACAAATTCCACAGAACGGGGTCAAGGAAGGATAATGCTAATGGTATTCTATATTTCACTGATTGTCAACAAATCCCATTAAAAAGGCCTAAACCAACTAGTATCGTCTGTGAAGCCATCATATTCCTCCCCATTGTTATCCAAAAACTATTAAAAAACACACGATTGAGCCACACTGTTGCACTGGGTGGCATCTTCCATTATGATAAACACACACACACACAGTTATTTATTTTAACTCAATCCCACACATACTGTCCTGCTGCTGTAATTACTCAATAGAGCACTAAATGCATATTAATCCATGACTGAAAACAAGTTCACGTAGCATTTGCTACACAACCACAGTACCCAGCTGTTTTAGGAAATTACTTACATTTAAAAAAATAAGGAAACTATGTATTTGTGACTTTTATATTTAAACCTTCGGTAGGAATGAAGAGGCTTGGAGCTTGGACAAGGTAAGGAAATGTGAGGGAACTTTCGTGTCAGTTGTAGGAAGCATAATCTTTTTTAACTTATGTAAAAGGGTCTCTATCTTGGAATATACTATACTTTGTTATTATTATAATATTATCATATAGGTTTAGGGTTAGGGTTATATTAAATCACAAAGTATTGAGAGACGCAATGATTTTTTTATTTTTTCATGGAATAAGAAAACTTTGAAGTAAAGTGAATATACTACAGTTGTTATAGTCTTACAATGCCTAAATGTTATGCTGTTCGCCATCAGCCGCTGCTGTAATAAAAATGACAGCATTTCTTGCGTTGTTATTCCAAGAGGTCATCTGTGGCTCAGTATCACAGCAGCCTGTTCCCCAAAATGTTTGGTTGAATTTACCCAGACGTATTAAATCTCACACCACTTGTGGACACATCTGCTCTGCTTTCTCATTAAAACATTGTAATTATTGAATAGAATTATCATTTTCCAGCTGGTAAATTTACATCAGGACTATAGATTAGCTTCTGTAAAGCAAACATGTTGTGATACAAACTTCAGAAGCATCATTTTATCATCGGTTAGTTTGAGTTTGGATTTTATATAATGAATGTGAATGTGCATTAGTGAAGCACAATGTTGTGATGAGTGTTGTTATAAATACACATATTGATACAAACACTTGTGTATGAGAGCGGACATCCCTCAGTTCAGATACATATTTTATACACTGATTTCATTTTTCTACCCAAATTATGCACCAGTGTCATTAACTTTCATATCCTGCTCGTAGTTTTTAGTTAACAAAATGCTCTTATTATTACTATTCTCTTATCATTATTACTATACTCTACGCTTTAAGCACTGTACAGCACGATGACGACATGTGATAGCACCCACTGAACTGCACAGGATCACCAGCATTAACAAAGTAGGACTCTTTTTATTTGAAATTGTTCACCTTTTACACACTGACAGTTAATATACACAAGCCTTTGTGGTCCCTCTGGCCCGAGACATGGTCAGTGACAATGTGTGCTGGATATTGAGTAGGATGGCTTATGGTGGATGGGAAGCTCTCTCTCTCCCTCTCTCTCTCTCACAGGCACACACACACACACATCCAAATACACACACCCTGTACATACATGGACAAGCACACGCACACATGCAGAAGTATACACTTGCACACGGATATGCAAGGACAAATACAAAAACACACATTACGACACATACTGTAACAATCTAACACAGTCTAGCCATCTAATGTAGACATCAACAGAGGACGGGCTTAAAGTGCATACAGGAACAGGGCCTTTGCTCGCTCTAATGATCAGTAACAGCCTTTTAAATTATGAGCAACATTAATCCTCCACTAAAGCAATGATCTTAGTGCCACGCTGTATCTTTACAAAAAGCATATCCCTACCGTATTTTTAGCTCAAACTGTGCCTTGCATCACGAAATAATGACACTGCATAGTTCACGGGGTTAGTCTTATACATTATTGCGGTAAAATGTGGGTCCAAGTCTGGGGTCCGGGTATGAGTCATGGGCGGCAGCATGGTACAGAAAGCTTGTTTTACTGTAGCCCAGGTTTTCAGTGGGAATAGAGAAATAAATCCATTGAGAGAACGCACCCAATACTTTGCTGCAGTCCAGTTTAGCTTTAATGTGGGATAATCCATACGAGGAGCGGTGAGACATGTTAAATCACAATACGAAGATGTTCAGTATCCCGGATGCATAAAAAGGAGTACAGATGCTGACACGACTCCTTGACCTGTTCTGGGTGAAGCACATGGTTTGGTCCTTGACAGGAGGCGGTGCAGGGCCGCCCAGGTCAAACAGGTCAATAAGGGGCAAATAGGACTTGTGGGTGGGAGGTCCTGACAGGCCCAGGGGCCGGGCGGAGCAGTGCAGCGGGGAGGGTCTGTGTCTGGAAGAGGGCAGGGGTCGGGGCGTGGTTAGTGGCGTGGTTCGTGCGGTGTGTAAAACTGTTGTTGATGGCTGCTGCCACCGCTGCCAGGTGGGCGGGTATGATCTGCGCAGTCAGAGACTGACACTGACGGTCTTTAACCAGGGACAACTTTATCTGGTAGGGAAAGACAAAATACAGTTAATACAGTCTGCATGTACACATAAAGTCAATAAAAAAAAGACTTTCTCCAAAATGTTACTCTGAGAAATATAAATATATATATTTCCTATAAGTCCCATTTTCATTTAACAAAATAAGCCACAAATGTTATGTCATTTAAACACAAGCTGTTACAAAGGAAATTTGCCAAAATAAAAGTGCATTTTAAATTATGGACTCTCTGATGAAAGTAAATAAGATTGCAAATATAACTAGACATTTTCAACCTTCGTTAGCAATATTTAGTGCTATGGACGCAAGCTCAATACTAAACCCTAATCTTTAGTGCTAAAATGAAAGTTAATCAATTTTGATAATCAAACAATCACTGAAGCCATTTATTCAGAAACAACACAAAACAATCCTGTTTGTAGCTTCTCAAATATGAGGACTTTCTGCTTTTCTCTATTTTAAATCATTGTAAATTAAATATCTCTGTATTTTGGACTGAAACAGGAAGACGTCACACTGTGCTCTGGGATTTTACGACTTCCTGACATTTTATCATCTTTGTCAATGGAGTTTATCGGTTTGATTGAATGTTTCTTGTTTCCAATCCTGGAGGCGACATGGTGGTATCACAAACAAGATTTAACTTGTAAATTAGATCATTTACAAGAAACAGAGCACAGAGCACAGAGAGAGCTGGGGCTAGAGAGCTTTACAGGGAATCAAACAGGTGCCAGAAATCAGCTGCTAATTGCAGAAATTATTCAACCAGAACTTAGTGGGAAACAGCAACAGATATGTCAACCCCAAGTAATTGTTCAGTGCCTGAAACTAATTTACCTTTTACCTACATTTGGGGATTTCGGTTTCTTTGGGGCGCTGTCATTGTCTCAAACATGAAAATCGCACATTGAATCACTGAATTCTGTTTTATCTTATTTTTTATATCTGTCAATTTTTTTTTGTCAGTATGTTTGCACATTAAAAATGAATTAATGAATTAAGAATTAATTTTAGAGAGAGTAGGCGTTATGTAGGGTTTTTTTTATTTTGAAATAAAAAAAAGAGAGAATAAAATGAAAGAAAGGAACAACAGCAAGATAAGCGGACAAAAAACGCCCAACCTCAAAAAAGCAGCCTAATAGGGTGAAAAGGTCACTAAAGTTATCTGGCTTAATCTTCTGTATCAGTAATGGAAAAGCTACGGTCTCACAGCACCGGGATGGCAGCCGTTGTCATGGGTTATCAATCACTGACTCAGGCATCGTAACCCTATGGGAAGCATTCTTTACTCTCCGCTCATCAAAGCTCCTCTCCGTTAACTCAGTCAATGATGGGTTTCAGAAAAAGTCATTTCCCCCACACTGGTAACCCCTGTGCTTCGTCTCGGCAAACAGTGGGTGTGATGAATGCTGTTTTCTGAGATTTTCTGTACGATGGAAAGTCAGGCTCTCCTTTATCTTTCTCACATTTTATCCACATGACTCCTTCGAGCATCCTAACATCACGTTATGTGGCAGTCAAAAAAAAACTTTTAATATTTGTTTTAACTCTCCTGGAGTGCAAGAAGGCCGGGGTTTGCCACATAGGACAGTGAGTACCAGAAAGTTAAACAAGCACCTCAGGAAAGTATTTTAAAAGTTATTTCGGTACACTTCACTTATTCTGTGGTTTGTCAACTTGCCTGACACTAATCTGAACTGCCTTGATGCAGAAGACCACACGCAGAGGTACTCCAAATAAGTTAAAACTGACATTTACAATTACCTATAAATAGTGTTCAACCCCAACCATGCATTCTGCCTGTAGCTTGCTGGCTCAGAAGAGACTTGATAGATGCCATTTTCTGTCTATAAAATATCAAGTTTTCAAATTAAATCACGCTGTTCGCTGCCATGGATTTTTAATAAAAGCCAGGTAACAGGTGAACCAGTTATGAGAGTTGACATTTAATTGAATAGGGTGCCGTCAAGTGAATTGAATGTGCCTTATCAAGTAACAGACCTCTAGCACTTTAGAAGGATTTGTTGCTTAAAGGCAAGAAATTCTGAATGCAGTTTTGTCCAAAATTCTCTCCCATGCAAACAGTACAAGAAAGAACAGCACATATTGGGTTTAGGCAAAGACCTATGCTTTTTTTATTTGATCTGCAAACTGCAGAAACAGGACGTGGCTGGAATAGGAGAATGACAATGGACACAATAACTGTCTCTGAGGGGTTGATACGTCTGTCTCCTAAGACGCTATTAGAACTGAGTCACAGTGATTGTTGTCTTGACACCAGGGTGTTTGTTGCTGATAAGATGACTGAGGCATGCAGTGACTCACCGGCTGCTTGGTCTGGCCTTTCTGCGGTTTGCTGTAGGGGCTGTATTTAGGTTTGGCTGGTTTACCTGCTGCTCGGTCTTTATGGCGCCGGCTGCTGATGTGCTGGAAAGGAGACAGAAGACAAGCTTCAGAGATTGATCATGAGTCACACTGAAGGTTTCAGCGTGTCTCCCCTACTGTGGTTAAAGCTGTAAAATCCAAATGTGCTTTTTCAAATTAAAAATAATAATGAATAAACATTTGTGACTTTATATACATGCCTAATATTCAGTAATTTTTTACAAATCTTCATGATATTTACTAACTAATACAGTTTGTTGTTGCTGTGGCCAGAGGTTAGTTTGACTGTGGCTACCAAGGCAAGCCAGGAAAGTCACGTCACAAAAATTTAAGGAAGGAAGTAAAGGTTATTTCAGACATCAAGCGTCTATCACCGCTGCCTCTGATGTTTTCAATGGAAACACGACGACAGCTGCGCCTTCAATGTAGGTGGCGGCGTCAAGGAGAAATAGGCAGGGACTTATGAAAATGAACAGCTATTTGGAGCTTTTATGATGGCTGGAGTTGTTTTCCCCCAAATAGCCATGGCTTCCTGTGTAACCATGGCGACCACACAAAAGTAAAAAAACAATGCAAAAGCTAATCTTACTGGGAAGCATAAATTTCACACCTCTCCCACCAGCAGTGGACAAACGGTATAAACCAATCAGCAAAATACATTAAAATCAAAACGGTTCATCCTTTAGGAAGCATGAATGTTTTCAGAAAGTCTTGTTGTGGCCTGATAGTAGGGGCCAGAGGATAGATCACAGAGTCACCAAAAACCAGAGGATTTATCTGGGGGATCATGAATACCGACAGCAAATGTAATGATTCGGTTTTCATGATAGCTTGTCAGACAAATAAACTGCTGAAGGGGAAGGTTTCATGGCAATCTGCTGAAATATACTACTGCACCTTTCTCTGAACAAGAGCCATTCCAGAGAAAAAACTGTGAAAATTGTCATTGTTTTTTTTATATATACTACAGCTGTGATACTGTATAGATGCCAGTTACCTCAGCCTCAGGCTAGATGCCATTTCAGGGTAGATAGCTTATCATGGGTTGAGGTGGAACTCTGACCAACATAAAAGGGGGAGGGCAGGACTAAAAATACACCTCCTGTCTCAAAGCGAAAAGTATTACAGCTTTAAAGGTTTCATTGTAATGTGAGCCACCCATGGTGAAAATGACTACAGTTCTGGCCCTGCAAGGTGCAGTGCAAAAAGCATTTACCAAATCAGACATTATGTTCCCATGTTAAACACAGAATGTCCTGTTAAGTTATTAAGGTTTTCTGATGTTAAAAAGACCAGATAAACCCAGTGGATTTGAGTAAACAAGGAAGAATCTGGAATGAAATATACAAAAAATACACTGTACTGTGCAAAAAAAAAAAAAGCCAATAAATAATTCACACTTTGACAACCAACAAAAGGCAGATCTTTTTGCTGCGTCTAAATTTCACAAGTCCTTGCAGTGGGTTTAACAATCACATATTCCTCTGGTTTCCAGCCATAACTGAAATTTGTCATGCTGGATTCTTTTCACAGAGAATCGCCGCTGTTCAGAAGTACTCAGTGAAAGTCCCTGCATGAAAAATTCATACAAAGCCTGTCTATTTTCAGTGAGAAAGCTCAAGGTTAGCTCAGACAAAACTGAGTGGTTTTCAAGTATTGTAGATGAAATTCCCCCCATGACAGAATGATCAGCAGCTACAAGAAAAGAGGATTTGTGGAGTGCCCCAAAGCAACAACCAAGATACACATTCCTGGGCAGAGCTTTAAGCCAAGACACACACAGGAAAATATCACAAAGAGATCAGATTATTGTCAGCTTTCCTTAGTAACCTCATTTCCTTAACATCATATAAACTAGAAACCCTTTTCATTATTTGAGGAGGGGGATTAGGAGGAACTCGGTTGGCTTTCTTTCTGCAGGAGAAACCTAATTTCTTGGCCACGTATCGCATATGCTTAACCAGATTTCAAGAGTGGGGGACAGGGAACACTTTGCTGTGACAGCAGCACGGCAGGATGAAAAAGGAAATTTCATTACTACTAGCGGTGCATCATTGTATCCTCCAAAAAAATGTATCTTAAATGCAGCAACAATAAAAAAATCTAACACTGAAGTAAATTAGTGTCTAGGTTTTCACAGATGGACAGCAAACTATTTGTAACATTCAGACACATGCACACAGTAATTTGTCTGCTTCCTCACTATAGTCAGCCTCAGTGTGTCATCAATCAAAAAGCATAAAAAAAAAGGAGGGAATAAATCACTAATACGCTTCAAATATGCTACCGTTGTTTTAAAAATATGGCTGGGGATGTGGGAGGAATCTGATTACTGAGCAGCTGCAGGTAAATGTAAGTTTTAACCAGGTCACTACATGCGCATGTGTTTTACAGTCTTAACCTTAATTTCTCCTAGGTAGTCTGGTGTGCATGTAAACAGTGAAATATTTATTTGTCCGGAAATTGTTTGTTTGGTTTCAAAAGTGTGGTTGTGCTCTAATTTATGAGTTTCTTCCATATCCTCTTCTTCCTCGTGATTTAACAACACAGGTGGGCGAGGTTGGGGTGGAGGCCAACGGTCCTCTTCAGCACCTTTTTCACAGGAGACATTTTGACATGTCACAGCAGGAGTCTCGGTGTAAATAATACAATCAATGCTGGCTGAATTTCATTTAGCTGCTTTGGTTTCAGGGTCTTGGTTTTACCGCTCGCCAGAAAGAAGCCGTAATTTTCCTACGACAATAACTTAAAATGTTTACTGTCATAAAAGCCAGTCAGTCTGTCTTCGCCGCATTCTGCCTCCCTGTGACTTTAAAGGAATAGTTTGAACTTGAGTTTTATGTGCTGGACAATTTTCCTGAGAGTTGGAAAAAAGCGCTGCACACTCTGGCTTCACATGCGTTCTTTTATTTAGCTGATGACATTTTGGCCCTCTCGCTTTCTTCAAGATCAACAATCATAGCAGGAGAAAGGCACTAGTGTTTTATATAAGTTAAACATCTGATTGTGATTAGACGATCACATTCCACCTTTAGGGTGAGTAAAAAACTCCTTCAGTAAATCCGAATGTTAAACAGTAACAGGAGCTAAAGCCAATCAGATTACTTCAAACTAAATGACCATGTCTCATTTAAATTACATATACAATTGTTAAAAATACATTTTGAATAGATGTCTAATATATACACACATATCCCTTTATCCTCTCTTCACTCCTCCCTTCCTATTCACTTGTTTCCTACCTCTCCCAGTCTCCCTCTGCCCAGCCTTCAGCACGTCCTCCCAGACCACCCTAACAGAAGACATCTTCTTCCACCTACTTCCCTCCATATCGTTACCATCAAAACCTCCCTGAGTTTCCATTAAGCCTTTAAATAAAATAGTGTTGTGGTGTGGTCCTTGCTAGTGAAATAGAGGTTTATTCCAGAAAACACCTCAAGTCATAATCTGTATTCAGTCCATGAGGTGACAGGGCTCTCAGATGGTGAATCCAATACTGCTCCCTCCTGGAAAGTAAAACCTCCACATTGCGTCCTCTTAGGGGGAAAGTGATACCTTCTCAATCCCAATATATCTTAGAGAGGAAACAGGATGATTGAGTTCAACAAAATGTGCCGCTACTGGATAATTCTTGTTTTTGCATCTAATGGTACTTCTGTGTTCAGCAATACGAGTTTTCAGTGCTCTGCTGGTCTTTCAAACATATGGTTTCTCACAAGGGCAAGTTGTTGTCGTTAATTGCTGCTAATTATCCTATCCTAATGGTGATTGTCTAACCACCATCAGATGTGTAACTAGGGTGTGGTCTCTGTAAAATACCAGCACCTTTGTCTTACTACGATTGTTGATCTTGAAGAAGGTCGGAGAACCGAAATGTCATCAGATAAAAAAAGAGAAATGCTTTTCCAACTCTAAAATCTTCTTCCAGTGATCAGCAACTCACGACAACTCTTTGTGTGTATGTTACTTTTCTATATTATATATAATTTCCTGGCCAGACAAAGTGAATTTAGATATGAGTGGTATCAGTGTTCTCATCTAACTTCATGGCAATAATGTGAATAAGCTTATTTAACAAAATGTTGACTGTTCCTTCAAAGGATAAATGATAACGAAATAAAACTGTCAGACTGTCAGATAATGATGAATAGTAGTAATATATTCCTTTTTGGTACATTGATATTTAGACTGCAACATAATGAATCTATGTACCCCAGTAAAATCCAGTACAATGCCATGAGAGCATAATTAGCCATTTGATATTCCAGTCCATCTGTATCTATGTCTTTTCTTCAATGACTGTCTCTTTTGCTTGCATTTATTTTTTAAAAGCTTCCATTGAACGTGCTTCGTGTCCAGGAAAGTTAGGAAGAAATTTTATTTTGTTTAATAAAATGTTTAGTTCATCAGTGTTTGAGAGTTTTCAAAGTCTGTCTCTGTCCCTCTCACCTGTTTTAGCTGCGTCTCTGAGTTGACATGCACATCACACGTCTCACAGTAAAACGTTTTGTTCTGCAGGCCCGTTGATGATTTGGTGGTTGTAGCCAGTTTGCTTTTGACTCCCGGTCGGGGGAAAGACTTGATGGAGCCCACGCCAGTCCTGGCCTCGAGCATCGTCTTGTGCTTCGTGCCTGCAGGTTTAAACAGGTAGCAGCGTGGTCAGTACATGAACTTCACCCTACACATTCTGCCTGAGGGAAAGATGAGATCCAAGGTTCATGTCTGTTATCTGTCTTTGGATCTCAGAAATATGAGGGTCGGTGTGAAAAGGTCGACTTGTAAATCTTCCTAAAAGTCCCTGATCAAAGCTGAGAAACCTGTTAAACTCTTTCATGCAAAAGTTACACATTTGACCTGAGTTGTGTTTTTCAGGAGTGAATGGATTATTAAAAATTCAAAAATGTTTGACTCAGACCACCATAACCAATACATAAGCCTGCTAGCAAATTCAAATTAAAGTTTTTTTTGTTTGTTCATTTTTTTTGGCAAAGTTGGCCTCTGGCTCCCTCTCAGGGAACTGCTCTCCTCTAATTTACTGTACACTTTAGACATGTCCAGAACTTTAGGATTGGTAGAGTAATATTTTGCTAAAGAAGCAATTTCAAGACTCTGGAAAACATAATTCGTTGGCTTTTCCTTCACTGAAAGGAATGTTCTGGCTATTACAACAGCTGAAAGGATGGTGCCGAGACATTGTACGAAAAGATGATCATCCACTTATCAAGAATTCCTTACAACAATGGTTCAGCTGGTTATGAAAGGGTCACATACTCTCTGTGGAACAACCGTGGGCCTCTTTCACTACCTGGCTATCTGTAACGTCGAGGCCACTTGCGTGATGCAGTGATGACTGATGTGGAAGATCTGCCATGGGGCCCCCCTGCTGATAGAAGTTTATTTGACTTGTTCTCTTGTTCAAACTTCCAATAAGATGTTCATAATGAAAAATGATAGTTTCAGGCAAAAGCAGTGGGACATTCCTGTGCAGAGGTAGATGACTTAGCAAACGGTCATATCCGCACTGTGTGTGTGTGTGTGTGAGTGTGTGAATGGGGTATTTGTTTGATACATTGATTCAGAGCACAATCTTTGTTTGCGAAAGCAAGGATATCTCACAATATGTGATTCGATAATGGGTTGCTCTGGAAACCACCAACAAACACATAGAGATTTGGGTTTTTTGGTTTTTTTTATAGGCCTGACTTTTTATTGTTGAGGACAGCCAACAACAAAGATGACAAAGACTTCAACATTGATTATCAGTGACTTTGTAACAACCCAGCAGATAACAAACAATGAAATAATCGATTCAGCTAAAAATATATATTTCAGTACTGTTGTTGGTGTGTCTTTTTTGTGGCACTTGCATGACCATAATAAATCCATGGTGTTTTAAGAAAACACAGGTAGGAACTTTTTTTCATCTTCTGTACAAATACTTCCCTAAAACGTCCCTTACCGCTATTGTGAGCCTCCAGCTGTGATGCCGAGTTGACCGCCACTTTGCACAGCGAGCAGTACAAAAGACGTCGCGCCTTCTCCTCCTCTGTTTCCGCGTCTGTTTCCGCCTCGGGTTCAGCCTCAGGCTCCGGGTCTGGGGTTTCTGAGGGTGAGACGAGCTCTGACGGCCTCTCGTCCCCTCCAGCAGCTGAGGTAGTCTCTGGGGCTGTGGCTGCCGTGGTGCTCGGGACTATCGGTGAGGCCACAGGTGCCAGTGTTGGCAGTGTAAGGGTCATCAAGGATGCCAACGGTTGTGCCAGTCGGAGCACAGGGGACAGCGGTAGGGGTGCTGCTCCAGGAACAGCATCTGCAGAGAGAAAATAGATGATTTGTTTTGAATCATATGGCTCCATCCATCATCCATCCATCATTTACGGACAAGGATGTTTTATTCATGTGCAAACAACAGGTGGCTGAACATGTTCAGACTTCAGAGAATCATTCCTATTTTTTATTTTTTTTATTTAAAGATATGAGATGAAGTATCAACATACAAAATATGAAGTAGACTGTGAAAGTTGAGATATGGGAAACATACTAACAAAACAAAAATGCAGGCCAATTATAGTTAAATCTGAGTGCAGTTAGAAGAGGGGTTTTGTGAGGTTGCACATGTTGGTGTATGCATAAGTGAACATTGTATTTTAACAGTTTGAAGAAGATCAAAAGATAGGTCTATGCAATATAAATGAGTAAACACTGATCCTGGATTTAACATTTCTTGCAGAAGAAATATGATATTTGATATAATGTTGTCAAGTTGCACTGCTTGACAACAGAGTTATTTCCACAGTAATCCTGAGAGCACTGCAACTTACAAAAGAAAAACCAAAAGCAAATGAAGAAAACATGTTCACCAACTTCACAACAAATGCAGTGAGAAAACACAACCAAGTCGCACAGAACACAACAGAAATTAGTTACAAAAGTTTCAAGGGGGCATAAGTATAAAGTCTCAAGCAACAGCAATTAAACTCGTCTGCTAGCACAAGCAGCAATGCTCTTAGGGAAATGCCCCCACAACAGAACATATGAATGAATGCGCTAATAGACACACAAAACATACTGCTTGTGACAATATGCAGGGTTGAATATTTTGAATTAACTGTCATGTTTAAGTCTGTGTATTCTGTTATTCTTATATATCTCTTTATAGACATTATAAAAGACTGCAAACTATGTAGTACTGAATTGTGGAGTTTGACTGTTTTTCTCTCTTTTGGGTTCAGGATTTTTTAAATTGTCATATTCGAGTTATTACAACCGTTTTGTTACTGTGTTTTGTTATTTGCCACAGACTTTGCTAGCTAGCTAAAGTATGCTGTCAACATCCCGCAAATGCATCGTTCCTGGAAGATTTTATTTATTTATTTTATTTACGAAGAATGATGCTCTGAAGAACTACGTTGATGTATGTAATGTAACTGACTGAAGAAAGACCTCTGTGGCTGTAGACATTTCATACTGTGGCATTTAGACTTTTAGAAATTATATATTTTTTGGTTTTCATGTAATTTATTTATTTAAATAGATTTTCTGTTTGCAATTCTTTTTCATTTTTCAGGTTTTGAATCTATTACAAGGATATTTTAAGCTTAAGAGAATATTTATGCTCAACAGAAATTGACTCAATTTATTTTTTTTTGCTTCTAGACTCTCATTTCATAATTCAATTTATTGCCATATACCCCAGTCAACAGTGCACGCCTTTCGAGAGTAAAAAATAAGTAGTTAAATAAAAACGAGGAATGATCACACAGGGTAGACCAGTTTATTAGGTTGAAACTTAAGAAAGTAAAATTAAATTAAATTGATAGACCAACACAGTCAAAACAAGAAGCAGACCAGTCCAAACTGGAATCACACTCAACTTTCTAGACCAGACACAAGTATATAATTATTCAATGTAGATTTGAAGCAAAACACAAAAAGAAAAGCTGATAAAAATGGTAAATACTGACTTTTATATTTGATGCAACTCAGTTTAATCAGGTCGGATGTAATTCATGTGTTTTCTTTAATAAAGTTAGTTAAACTCTTCTTTTGTTTTTGGCTTTTTCATGTTGACTATACTCAATATGTAGTTATACAGCTACAGCATATTAATGAGTTTTCCCAACTCAAAATACCAAGAAGTTCACTAAACTTACAAAAAGTGGTTGCTTCATTTATTTTCAGTTACATCTAAGTAGTTCTTACAGTGTTAAAACACCTTTACAAGTTCATAAGGTAAGTTATTCAAGAGATAATTGATTATATGCCATGACATACATATAAAATAAATATATATATAATGCATTTGAGATAGACAGCTCTGCAATCAGACCTCCAATCCAATGTCGAGAGATCACATTAACATGTACAAATAGCTGCTGTGTTCTGAAAGAAATGTCTGATATTTTATGAATAAATACAGCAGTGGATCAATATATCTGACTTATAAAACAACACAGGTCAGTGTATGGAATACAGAGGACTGCTGCCACATTTACGAAAATGAAATTTTGCCTTAGCAGCGCAACCTGATCGATGCCAATGCCTCTGAGTTCTCCGCACTCCGGTGTCACAAAATGAAGATCAGCCAGCCAGGAGAGCAAATCAATAGTGAATTATGTCATGCTATTTTTGAGAGCCATTATATATGGTCCTTATTTATCCCAGTGGAGGTGTTGGCGATTCGCGCCGCAAAACTGCTCCAAGTTACATTGTCACCGGGCTCCCTTCTGCCAAAGGTTAAGAAATACATCAGAGGTTGAAAGAGCGGGTATGTTTCTGTTATGGTGAAAGAAGTACAGACATCCGATAAACAAGAAGAATCAGAAAGAGCTTCTGGTGAAAGCTGTCTATTTATTCAAGCTGAGGTATTAAATGACATCCAGGGACTGCAGCTTACTGACACTCACCATGAAAGCTTGTGCTAAATGCTTCAAATGTATGTTAATGTATGCAATGTGGGTTTTTCTGTTAGTATTTCAGTGTTTGTGAGCATCCAATCCATTAACCTTTAAAATTGGTTTGAGGCACATTTTATACTTGTTGTAATACTCTCCTCTCTTACAGTTGACTGACTCCAACTATGAAATTTGCTGCACTTGCATGAAGCTCGCTGTATGCTCTGAATGCAGATCTTTAAAGTACGTGAACAGGAGCAGGTGGTAGACAAATGAACAAAAACAGGACATCTGCATTGAAATAAAGTCAGAGAAAGCTTTAAGAGGGTTTGTTCGACTGACAAAATCCCAAAACATACATCACAATCCTTCCGCAGGATTGGTGACATATACATAAGCCTGCACATAGTGGAGCCTTAAAGTCTTATGACTATAGGCCTGATAACGATAAAAAATCTGTTAATGGAGTATCAGCTGGTGTTCATGGCAAGTACAAACATGTTTTAAGACCCCTAATATTTGATTAATAAAGTCAGAAAGATATGTACTTCGGTATTATTTTACACCTGAATAATAGGGTTTATTATTAAAGACAGCAAATTTACCAGTAAATTAGTCTGTCAATGCATTGGTCCGGCCCACACTTGTTTTATCATTTGTGCTGACTGCATTTACACAGCAAGTCTGTCTGCTCTGAATCAGCAACAAAAGTACAACCAATAGCCAAAACAGTCACCACCCATGACTCTACTTCTCATGACTGCACAAACCAACATATTTGTTATCTTCTGCTTTGTCAAGATACTCCATCCGAGCATTTTCTGCTGCTTTATCATGTCTGAGCCACAGTGGCAGCAAAACAGCCCGTAGCCACATCCTCCAGGAGATCCTGAGGTAGCCCCAGGCCAGACAGGATATATAATCCCTCTCGTGGTCATCCCAGGGGTCTTAGACATGTCTGGAGTAACCTCCACAAGGAGGTGTACTAGAGGTATCCTAAACAGAGGCCTGAACCATCTAAATTGGCTCATCTTAAACCTTTTAACGTGGGGAAGCAACAGTTAAATTCTGCTCTCCTTCTGGCTAGTTCCTCAACTTATCTCTAACAAACATACATCAAAAGTGCAAGTTCGGCATTGCACAGAGCAAGGCCATTGTGCTCTCTCAGGCAGCTGCACGGGTCATAGCAACACGCACTACACCAATTTTCCAACAGGTTGGGCAGCAAAAAATCAACTAACCAACTCTGACCTGCACATTCTGATTCCAATGGGATTGTGCCATTGTTAGAGAAATAAGTTGGCAAATTCAACATTCTGTGTCTCTAGTCTCCAATTGACTTCAGCAAAAAGGTTCAAGGTGGCAGAAAATATGAGAGAGGATGGAATATTAATAACAAATTATTAGTTTTTTTAACGCCTGGTCCTAAAGGGCTGTAAAGGTAAGTCTATCCACTCTCTGAGGGAAACTCATTTTGGCTGCTTGAACCCACGATCCAGTTTTTCAGGAATTACCCAAAGCTCATAACCATAGGTGAGGGTTGGAACATAGATTGACAGTTAAATCGAGAACTTCCCCTTTACCACAACACTCCAGTACAGCATTCACATTACTGCAGATACAACACCAATCCGTCTGTCTTCGTCACTTGGGACAGTGGCTCACTGTTAAGATACTGCTTTACAAACAGCCACAAAGAAAGCCACGGGGAAATTTAAATGTAGGCCTTTGTTAAGATTATAAAGTGTGGTCAATGAAACTACATTCAGGTGCTGTGATGTTTCTCTTTTCACTCTGTCAGTGTTGCTGCTGCAGTTCTTTTATGCCATTCACAGACTGCCTGACATCACATGACCAGGTGACCTTAAGCAAGGGCGTCTATTGATTACTACTGCCAGAAGAGGATTGAGCGTTCAGTTTGGTGCACCTATGACTGACTGTCCTCTAACTGTATCTGTGTGTTTTCAGTAGACACTGCAGATGCTTGTTGACTGATGTAAAGAAGAACATCTGGTATGAAAAAGCCATTATTCCAGGCTGTTACACTCAATACCGTGACTGGAACATTTATTTAAAGGCTGTGGACTCAGCTATGAAAGGAGGACCAGTGACTTCACTTATTAGTTGTGCGCAATTTATGTTCTGTTTAATATGAGTTGAGGTTGAATACGCTGCAGGCAAGAGCCAGAAAATCTACCCAGTTCCTCCAGTCTGCATACTCAACACCGCCATGCTTTAACCGAGATTCACAGTATCACAGTAATCTGAATTTAAACAAAGAAGACATTATCACTCTTATTACAATAATATATGTTGGTTTGAAACATATTGATGTTCATAAAACAGATTTTAGGCTAAAGCAATACAACTTTTTAGGTATGTTGACAATCATCAGTTTTGACCATAATGAACGGCC